TGGAGGTTTCTCTGGGGAAAAATGCACAGTGCATTTTTGAAGGAAAATATGAGTGATTTAGGACATTAGTCACACCGCACATGCCCTCTCTGAATGCAGGAAACTGTTAGCCCCTGCCCCGTTGGGAAGAAGAGTGGCGGAGATGGCTGCTCCCCAGGGGTGGGGCAGGGGGAATTGAGCAAGCTTCTCCGTGCAAGGAAGTCCACAGCACCTCGTGCTTGACATCATCTTGTAAGATGCTTTTATCAGCCCCGGACAAAGGGCTGGGTCAAACATCATCATTTCGTGCCTTTATAAGGTATCCATTTACATACCAAAAATCCAATTAGTACATTCATAGATGGATAAAATGTTAATAAACGGTTGCCACTCTTTGCTCCTGGAAAGCTGGTAAATCTAACTCCCTACGCTTACGTCTAAGCCTGAGTGCTTACCATGAACATCATGGGTCCCCCTACCATCCAGCGGGGACTGTGACAGCAGCCCCCCTGGGAAGTGCTGTCACGACTGAGGAAGCTCACCCGCACAGAGTGCCCGGCACAGGCAGGCAACGAAGCTTTAGTCCCAGTGCTGCCTCAGCACGCCTACTCCACTGCCACCTGCTAAGGGTACGGATGGAGTTCTAGAAGCTGGAAGATCAGGGCAGGCGTTAGAGAACACAAGTTTAAGTTCGTTCTGAATCCACTGTAATATATAGATCATACAAACAGAAGACACAAACAGCTCATTTGCAAGGTCAAATCTAACCATTAAATTAACCCCCGCAAATAACCTAGCTAGTAATTGCAAAGTAAAATAAAGAATTAACACTACCTGCCCATTAAATTAGCAGAGGTTTTGTAATTACAATGACTAATGTTGGTCAAAGGGCAGGGACACATGCACTGTAATATTTTTTACCAAGTTATCTGGTATCACGGATCATTAAATGTTTGTTACAATGGACCCAATAATTTCAACTCTAAATAATGATTCCTAAAGAAGTGAAGCAAAAGTCCAGAGACCCCTCCAGAGAACAGAGCCCCCGACTTCTGCTGGGGCGAGAACAGACATGGCAGCCGTTCACGAGCTGAGGCAAGAAGGGGACCTGGGACTCCAAGCACCCTTTAAATAGACATTCAGTTGGTCTTTCTGTTTCTATCTCCACCTTCACACCAATTTTCAGAAATATTACCGAGTCTTAAATGTTTGGGGTCTTCTCCAGGACAACCAGGCTGCCTCTCAGGCCCTCCCATCATGCGTTCAGAAAGCCAGCCTCCCAGAGCCAGGGTCAGGGCTAAGACCAGGGTCAGAGTTAGGGTTAGGGTCGGAGGCAGGTTAGGGGCCAGAGGTCAGGCGTCTGGGCATGGAAAATTTGATATGCATGATGATATTCACTACATTATTTGTAGACAAGATAATGTAAATTATATACTTTACAAAATATTACGCAGCAATAGAAAGGATGGTGAGGAAAACAAGTGCAAACTGTCGAAAGAAAACAAGCTAAGATAGTATACCAAATATAATCTATGATGATAACATGGGAAAAAAAATCAACATGTAGAAGAAAATGTTAAAGTAGTTGTATTAAGAAAGAAGGCTATTTTAAGTAATTTTTTGGCATCTTCGGTTTCCACTTTTGGAAATATGGGCCGATTTCTTTGCAAAGCAAACATGCACTTGACTAATGTCTTCCCAGTTGCTCTGATAGCAATCAGCTCAGCCTCGGGCATTCACTTCCACTCATGGTACAGCCCCGTAAGCCAAGTCACTGCTTCTATAATGCTCCTTCCACAAAGTGCATCAGAATTAACATCCAAATACTGGCTTTTTTTTTAAAGCACAATTCTACATAGAACAACCTGTCCAATTCTCACCTTGTCCTCCTTTATATCCATTACCACTTTCAGGTTGAAGAAAAAGGAAGACGGAGCAGGAATAAAACCAGAGCCTTTCTCAATGGCCAGCTCCCGTTCCCTGGAGGTCCCCACCAGCCACTTCAGCAGGGCCTTAGTCTCCACATCTCTGCCAGCCTCACTAGCTCGCCCACGACAAGGGCCAAGCTGGTCAAGTCAACGAGGCTGTGACTGATAGCCTCTCCCTGGGTTTCCCACCAAAGGAGACTAAAGTGCTTTACAATAAACTCACCACACATCTTCATCTTTAGCAGCTCAGGGCGGGTGAATTTATAAGCTATGGTGAGTCAGTAATGAAGGCAAGAACTCTGAGTTCTTCCTCCTTCTGTCATTTGCTTGTCTTTTGGACCTTTCCATCGGTAGGCAAAAAGCAGTGAAGTCTGAGCAATGTAAAGGGCCAGGAGATTGGACTCCATGATCTCACTCAGTGGCCTTTCCTTCGTGGCCAGGAGTCTGTGATGTACGGACCCCACAGCCTGCAGCTTCCGAAACCATCGCCATGAATGACAAATAGATAACCCTTTAGGCACAGGGGAACGTATCCATGAAATTAAAAGGAGCCCTGCTCATCTCCTGCGTCAAAGGAAACTTGAACATCACACACTGTGAGTTTCAGATCCGACCCGTGGACCCGTGGAGCAGGGCTGATGTGGATACAACTTTGTTGACTCTGCCAGCCCAGGGCTGCGCCGTTGGAACCATGCTGGCTAGCCATGGCCCGGCTCACAAAGGGGCCTTTTAGCTCTGGGGCCAAGCCTCAATGGCCGGCCTGTTACGTCTCCTGGGCCATGCTGATGTTCCATGTCAATCTGGCTGCCAAGCCCGGCAATTAGCTTGGATCCCTCATACATTTCTTCTTTTTGACGTCAAAACTTTGAGACAAATGACACTTTCCACAAATAACTGGGTAGCTCTCCTATTGGTGCTTCCTTTCCCCCCTCACCCTGTCTCCCACCTCATATCACACCTACTGCCAGATGACAAAAAGCAAAATGATCCACGTTACGCAATGCTATAAAGCCAAAGAGAACAAGTAGACTTCCTTCGGGGATGTCCCTCCCCACTTTCTATCAATCTCTAGAGGCTGAGTCAAATGTTCAGGAAAAATGTGAAAAAATATGATCCTGTGATAAACATCGTAGATGACTTTAAACAAAGTCTCTTGAATCAATGTGGCAGATGCCAGAGATATGAAGACTTTTCCCCTCCTTCTTCAAACCCGATAGTTTTAAAGTTTAAATGTCTCCTGTGGCTTAAGGAACTATAAAAGGTAAGAAACAAGAGCCCTGTAGGCCCCACCTTGGACTCCTCAGTGGGGTCAGACTATGGCGCCTTTAGGAAGAATGAGGTCTGCAGCCTGTCAGAGGTCTCAAAGGTGCTGTCCTGCTTCCAAGCTGGCATTCCCAGTCTGATATGCAGGGAAATGTGTCTGCAGCTGCAAAGTAAAGGGCAGGTCAGCCAGCTCTCTCCCTCTGCCAAGGCCCAATCACTGCCTTTTCAGAAGATGTACAGCCAAGGTATGCCCTGCACACAGTTGCAGGGGTCACCCAGGGAAAACTCAACTCATCTGATTTAGAAACAGACAAATAAGGCCCTTTGTGAGAATTAAGACACAGCCAATAATAGGCAGTGGTCACCTGCCTTCTCTTCTCCTGCTCCACGCTCTCCCCAAGAAGCTCAGCAACATCGAGATGCTGGTAACTCCCAGATTTGTACCTTCAGACCCAATTTCTCTCTTGAGAGCTTGATTTCCAACTGCCCTATTATTTCTCACCTTCTGTGTCTAATCGGCCATCAAAGCCTGCCAATGTTACTTCTCTGCCTCTCACAGCGCATAATGCTCCCCTACACGTCCGTCCTCCAACTTAGAGGCCGTGCTCACCAATTCTTAGCTGGACTACTGAAATTGCCCCTGAAGGTCCTCATGGCCTCTGGTCCCGTTCCTCTGTTCCATCCTTCACTGCCACCAAAGTCAGCCTAATAAACACCAACGGAGTCTCTCCGTGAAAATACTGGCTCTCCCAATTGCTTATGGCTAAATTCCAAACTCCACAGTAGGACTCCCAAAGACCTTCACCAGCCGATCACAGCTCCCTGTCCGCTGGCCACTCCCTCCTAACCCACCTGTGGTACCTCGGCGCGTTCCAGACCAAACCAGTGGCATTCCCCCTTGCATAGTGCGTCCCGCTACCCCATCTCTTCGCACGCTTTCCCCCACTACTGGTCCTTCGAGACCCAACTTGGCTATCACCTCCCCTGCAGGGCTCTCTCCAGTGCCTCCGGTTGTGAGTTATAGGATCTCTCTGGTTCTGAGCACTCTGCATACTGTCTTCAAACAGCCCACTACAGAGCAGTGATGGGCTCAGGTGCTGGTCCCCCCAGGACAGTGCCTTAAGGTCCTTGAGGGGGCGGGGAGCCCTTCTTTATCTCTGAACCTGGTACAAGGCCGCACAAAGGAGACACTCGGGAAGTGTTGCTGAATCCAGCCATCATTGGAAGAGGGATTAGAATAAGGGCAGTGGAGGGAAGAGATGTGGTCGGTCAGGACACTGGAACGTAGCTCCAACAGCCTCAGAGTAGCAGATTATGGAAATGTAGGAGTCTCTCCAGGCTTTAGTGTCTCATCTGCTCAATACAGAGGTGAGACTCTAAGATTTCTATGGCCCCTTTAACTCCTCTGTTCTAGCATTCAGACTACATTTTCCTTTCAAATCTACAATGAAGAAAAGCTCCATATAAAACCTACGGTAATAATATGCTCCAGGAGTCTGGACGCTCTCCACAGAGCCAGCCAGGAAAATTACTGTTTTGCCTGGCCACTAGGCAGAGCTCCCAAGGACAGTCAACAGCTGAGGCTCCTCCCCTAAATTCATAAAGCCCCAATTGCCTTCTGTTACATTTGGAGAAAATCCTCCATTGATCTCTGTTCTGTTTCACTCTACGTATTCTGGCCCAAAAGTGGCTTATTAAGTATCATGCGCAACAACAACAAAAAAAACCCAGTGGCTAAACCCCAACCCGCCTTGAAAATAACAAGTGCTGAGAACATGATCACTGAATTTCAAAAAGCCAGGTTAAACCCGTGGCTTGATAGCTAATCACCTCGTTACCCCGTACTCTGGGGGCGGCTGGTACCGTAGGACAGCCACTTCCGTTCTCGCAGGCTGAGGAGCAGGATAAGGCTTGACCATCTCATGGAGCATCCCTGGGTGCTGGTCACTGTAGAAAAGTCCATGCTCCTGGGTCTTGCTGACGGGGGACATCATCTGCTTGGTCTTGTAGGGGTACTCAGGTGGAGGACCCCGGGGGTCCAGCACTTTCCCTGCAGGCTGGGCTGGGGAGGGTCCCCCTCCTGCCTTGAACCCCTTTCCATTCCCTGAGCCAGGGAGGTGCTGCTTAGCACCATTCCTCTCCAACGACAGCTGCATGATCCTCTCACTGAGAGAGCGGACGTGGCCCTGCTTGAGTTCTTTCAGCGCCTCGTCCTTATGCGCCTGTCCACTGTTGGCACGGTTCACCGTGGGCCTCCCCTCAGTCCGGGCCTTCTGACTGCTGCCCCCCGCCATGTAGTAACCATGGCCGGCAGCCCCCTGCTGCTGCTGCTGGCCCCGAAAGAACTGGGACTGCGCCTTGGCCTCCTCGTAAGTGGGCAGCTCCTCGTTGTTCTGCTGAGGCTGCGTGGACCGCACCTGTTTCTCCATCACCGTATTGTCCACCTGGTGTTCTTGACCCTGCGGTTCCTGGCGTGCCGACTGGTAGACCATTGGTGGGTCTTCTTGAGCGAGGTTTTCCGTGGAAGAAAAGCTGTTGGTGGGGTGGGCGGGTCCTGCGCTCCCTGTGGCCTGGTGCTGAATGGCCAGCAAGTTCATGTTCTCGGTCGGGGTGCCATACCGCAGTTGTTCCTGGATCAGCCGCTGTAACACTGTCCCAGCTGCCGCATCCTCGGAACCTCTCATTTCCACCTCTGAGGTCCTCAGGAGGCTCGGGGGCTGGAAGTGACACAGGGAGTCCTCAACTGGAAGGCAAACAGAGGGAAAAGGGTATCAGGAGGCGCCACAGGCATACAGGTTTGTATCTACATGCTGAGTAATTAACATGGTAGCTACAGTAGCCTTTATTCTTTTTATTTTTCTTTCTTACAGATTATGTATTTATTTATTTATTTGAGAGAGAGAGAGAGTGCATGCACACGAGGGCAGGGGAGGAGCAGAGGGAGAGGGAGAAGCAGGCTCCCCACTGAGCAGAGAGCCCGATGCGGGGCTCAACCCCAGGACCCTGAGATCATGACCTGAGCTGAAGGCAGAAGCTTAACTGACAGCCGCCCAGACGCCCGCTACATAGCCTTTAAAGACAGCATTTCAAATACACCACTGCCTCTGTTTACCCTGTGGTTTCTCAGGGAAGTGTTTCTCCCAATCACAGCGTGTCTACTACTCTCCATTCCCTCACCTCCTGCTTCCTCCTGGACCTTGCTCTGTCCTTCACGCCCTCCCTTTCCTTCAAACTCCCTGCTGGCTCCTTCCCTTCCTCATATAAACGTGCCAAGTCTTTCCCATCTTAAAAAAAAAAAAAAATGGAAGCAAAAAAACCAAGATCAAACAAAAAGGAATCGCCTTTTCTTGGCCCTACCCGTGTACCTCTAACTGCCACTGTGTATCTGTCCTCCCCTTCTCTTCTGATTGTCCCTCAGTAAGCAGTCTATACTCCCTGTCTCCACTTCCCAAACGCCCCATTCACCGCTCTCCCTAAGCTCTGATTAGCAAACAAGCCCAATGAGAATATTCCATCTCCCGTATTACACACCTCACCTCTCTGAAGCATTTGGCATGGTGATCATCTACTTCCTGAAATGCATCCAGGTCTCCCACCCCAACCCCTTCCCTGGTTCCGGCTCCTGCCTCTCTGTGCACATCTCTGGCTCCCTTTTCTCCACCTGCCCCTTAAATTCTGGTGTTTCCCACAGCTCTGAAAGCTCTCCCACCCTCACTCAACAGAATCTCCTGGGGCATCACATTGGCCACCTGTCTTCAACTACTGACTCATGACCCACATCTACCACCACCAGCAGATGGCCCATTGGTTCTCCACACTCAACATGTCTTCCTCATCCCCAACTTACCCACCCACCAAACCCCATATCCCTGCCTCATCTACGCCTTGCCAAGCCAGAAACCTGGGAGTTTTCCAAAGTTCCTTCTGTTCCCTTGCCCCCAACATCTATTATCAGCCTGCCAACTTTACCTCCCAAACACCTCTCCTAACCCTCTTCATTCCCTCCCAATCTCCAAGTTTATTATTGATAACCACAATATAACTGCAAGAACCATTTGAAGAGTGCATATGATGTATCAGGTATTGTGCTAAATTCTCTCCATAGGTTATTTCGTTTATCCCGCATATAATCGTATGAGGCACATGCAATCATGAGACAGATATTAATTTCCCCTATCTCACGGATGAGGAGAGAGGTTCAGAGAAGGCAAATGACAGAGGTTACAGAGATAGGAAGAGCCAGAGTCAGGATCTGACTCATTCTACAAAAAAAAATCTGTGTTTATTCCACAACACTGCAAAGCCCTTGGTGTCTTCTACCCAGACAATTCCAGCAGCCTCCTTATCTATTTTTCTGACACTAGTCTCGTTCCCAACTCCAAACCCACCCCGTAGACCTCAACCTATCTTCCACTTTACCCTGAAAGATTGTTCAAATAGGAAAACCTAACTATATCACTCCTCTGCACAAAATTCCTCAATAGTTAATTACAAGATGAAACTGACATTCTACCCTAGGATGCAGCAGGTACTGCATTACCTGATCCAGCAACATTTCAGGCCACCACCACCATCCCCCCTCCCCGGCCACCCCTCGGCGTATAAGTCCAGCAGCACCTAAGACCACATAGCTCCCAGACAGGCCAGTTCTCTTCCGTCTCTAGGGCCTTTGCTCACGTTCTCTCATCTCTGCTGAGAGAGATGCATCTCACCACATCTTCTTGGGAGATTCCTAGACATGCGTCAAGTGAGAACTCCACAGCTACTTCTGAGTACAACCTGTCCCACTGCAGCCCAGCAGGCTTGAGCCCTCCTCCTGAGCCCCCGCTCCATTTGTACGGATCACCATTAGGGCTATTACCACAGTAGATAGCAGCGATTTATTTACACAAGACTCTTAACTTCTTAAAGGCAAGGATCACGCCAACTCACCTGGGTCTCTCTAGTGCACAGCTCAGTGTCTGCATGTAATGGGGGATCAAACATTTAACCAAAGAATTCCTACATGAGTGCCATGAAATATAGAATTTATTCATTCCACAACAATACTAGTAAACAGTGTGTTGAGGAAATTATAGAGCATTAGGATAGCAAAAATTCTAGCACTTACTATGGGTGTGACCTCGAGCAAATCACTTACTCTCTCTGAGTTCCATCTCCTCAGGGGTAGAGTGAGGGAACGGAAATAGATCATAGCCCAGCAGCCTCACTTCTACAATTCCAGGCAACGATGACTCTGTGTTTCTATATATACATAGAATACCTCGTCTCCCCGCAAACCAGCTTTCTTTCCCAAGGTTGCCTTTTTGTTTGTCTGTGTTTTCTATAATTGGCATCCTAATCATGTGAGCCATCCAGATAGAAATTTCAGACATACTTTTGGCCCTTTGTCTCTTTTTCTCCCTATGTTTGATCAACTGCCAAGCTAGTTTTTCTCAGTCCAGTGAAATGAGAAAAAACAAAGGTGGTAGGATATGCTTACAAGATATATATGTATATTGCCCATATACACGTGTATATACACAGACACTTGTCATTAGGTTTATGCCTATCTTTTTTTTGGCAATGGCTGTGAAGGGTCACATCCCTCTTACTCTTTTTGGTATTAAAATATGAGAAAAGGTGACACTAGATGACATTTTTAGTGTCTTTGCGATAGCAAAAGACTGCAACCCTAACTTCCAGGCCCTCAGCCGCTTCCCAGGTTCTGGCTCTCCCTACCACTTGCCCAGAGGTCCCGAATAGCCTCCTAACATCTCTTGCCTCTGGCCTCTTCTTTCAATCCACACTGCATCTATGATCTGTCCTCTTCTACTAGAATTCAAGAACCAGATGGCAGAGTTTTATCTGCTGTCTTCACTTGCTATCTCCAGTGCCTAAAACACAACCCTGATACCTAGAAGGCATTCAGAAAGTAATTGTCCAGCAAATTCAAGAACTTTACAGATTGGGTCCTGAAGCTCAACTCTGATCATACCACTCTGCCTCTTCCTCCCCCCCAGCCCCACCCCCCAAATCACACCTCCAAGACCTGAGGCAAGTTATTTGGCTTCTCTGAACCTCTCTCCTCTGTAAAATTGGCAGACTTCATATCTGCTCCGTAAGACTGCATGTGCAGTAAATTCGAACTTATTCCCTACTTTCCGAGAATGTATACTGTAACTAAGATATAAACCCAAAACTCAACAATAAAAAATTTCAAACACGAAAAACAGGTTATTGGAAGTCCACGTAAGATGAATTGCCAAAGAACTGTAATAAGCGATGAAGAACCCAAGGAAAGAGAGATCAGTGTGGGCTGAAGTGGGCCACACCCTCACTGTGCAAATCTTCCCCACCAACCGGTTACATCCGGGCATTCAGACAGGTGCTGGGGGTAGAAGGTAAAGAGAACACAGTCCCTACCCTCAGAATAACTGCTCTGAAAGGCTTGTGGCACAAGCAAATTCAAATTATTGTGAACAACTTAAGTAAAAATTCAAATAAAAAGACAAATATATTTCCAAAAGATAATCATTTTGGGGGGAAGGAATGGGGTCTCATCAAGCATGAAAACTACTGAATTCCCTTTTCATAAGCATGTTTGCCAAGAACCAGGAGATCCTTCTGGTTCTTTTTTTTTTTTTTTAAGATTTTATTTATTTATTTGACAGAGAGCAGGAGAGAAAGTGAGAGAAAGCACAAGCAGGGGGAGCAAGCAGAGGGAGAGGGAGAAGCAGACTCCCCATTGAGCAGGGAGCCCGATGCGGGGCTCAATCCCAGGACCCCGGGATCATGACCTGAGCCAAAGGCAGATGCCCAACCGACTGAGCCACCCAGGCGCCCCTCCTTCAGTGGTTTTAAAGATTCCCTTCCATTCTTACCAATCTCAAAAGCCCGCAAAAATAGGCAAGAAGTTTTCACAAAGGAGGCAGCTCCCTGCCTACTATAGTTTTGAATTTCTTCCGCACTTCTCAATTATTTGCAAAAAGAGATAAAAGTGAAAGCAGAGAAGGAGAAAAAGTTCCGGGAAAGAGTACAAAAAAGTATTTAGGACTTAGAGAAAAATTAGGAATAAATGGTACACTCTCAAGTTCCTACATAAGAACTCTGTCTGTTGAGAGAGTCACATATTATTGTAAAATAGTCTATTGACACCATAGCCCAAACATTAAAAATAAGGCACCTACCAAGAAAGAGACAATCAACAATACAACTGGCTGATTTTTAAAACAAGGCTAGAGAAAAAATTACGCAAAAAGGCTAAAAATCAGAAACATATGATCATCTTGTTTTTCCAACCCACATGCCAGTAAAAGGACTTACCAACTTTTTCCCTGATGCCACTACCGTTTGCCTCCACCGTCAAAGCAGATGGTTCACGCCTCCCAGAATAGAGCTGGAAGTCTGGGAAAAAGTAGTTGGGGTCTTCTAGAATCGGGGCAGGACTACCAGGGCTGTAACCAATAGGAGGGGGACCTGGGGAAGAAGCAAAGTGCCTATTAGTGTCCACGAAGTCCTTCCCTCGCTCCTTCTTGTGTGACTCATGAGAGCCCACGAGGCATTCTCCCACATTCAACTCAGAGCTGTCTTTTTGATTCATAAAATTCCAAAGTTACCATTCATAATTATCACAAGTCCAGCCACCCACCAAAATGGCCCATGAGGTCAAAATAACAACCTTTAAGACACATTGAGTGAAGTCATGATGCTTTCACACCAACCAGTTCCCCGGGTGCCCTGCGGCAGAAATCAAGCCCCCTGCGGAACTGGACAAGTCCCCGAGTTCGGGATGGTCAAGGTGGGGGACGGAAAGGACAGGGGTGGGGAGGCCAGGAAAGGATACTAAAACGGGAAGAGCAGCTGGGTCACCGAAGACATAAAAGACACAGAGAGGGGTTGGCCGTGTTGCCATACCACGAGGGAGCAGAGGCCCGTCCCGGCCCTGGACAGAGCGCACAGCCCCACTCAAGGATGCTGGAGCCCGGTGCAGCAGTGGGAGCCGGGGACATGGGCTCTGGCTCTCTGCCGAGCACTGGCCTTTTGGCCCCAGTTTATCTGCTTCACACACAAACCGGAGCGTGCTTCCTGTTCCACTCTAACGTGACACAGTAGTCAGCCCTACAGGCACTGAACATGAGCTACCATTACAATAACACTGACATGCACATACAACATCGTGGGAACGCTCGGCAGCGCGGGCCCGGGCCCTCTGCCCTCTCTGCACGGACTTCTCTGCTTGGGCACCACATGGAAGGCTCTTTTTGGGCCAAAGCAGCTTCGTTTACTCCAGGGGAAGAATCATGCTTTTTTTTTTTAAGTAAAATCCTTGACCAAATGGTAATTCCATTAGAACAAAAATGTTTCTCAGCTCTAAAATTTTATTTATTTATCTGAGAGAGAGGGCACGAGTGGGGGGCGGGGGAGCAGCAGAGGGAGAGGGAGAAGCAGACTTCCCGCTGAGCAGGGAGCCCAACCACGACACGGGGCTTGATCTCAGGACCCTGGGATCATGACCCAAGCCGAAGGCAGACACTTAACCGACTGAGCCACCCAGGCGTCCCAAGTATTTCTCAGCTCTAACTTCAAATTAATTTGAAAGTAATATGAAATTTCTTGCTAGGTTTTTTTATCTGCTCCTTTCCCATAAGGCCAAAGCTAGCAGTACCTAATTATTCTGAGGCCATAGATGGGGGTTTACTCATCAGCCTCCTCAGTTTCTTTACTTCAAAACACAAAGTAATATTTGCATGTTTGCTCACATCTATCATTGGCACGTGTGGACTAGAGAGAAAAAATATAATATTTATCTTATAAAGTTAAACTAAATAATGTAGTAGTGACTCTTATCTTAAAGATGAATATAAACCAAATCTGAATGACATATTATACGGAGATCAGTCTAAAATTGCAGTTCCAATGCCTATGACGTTATCTGTCAGGGTGCTCTTTTTGGCCCACCTGCCAGGAGTATCTTGGAAGAAACTCACTCCTTTCTGGGCCTCACTTTCTACATCTATAAATCTAAAAGTCTCAGGCTAAAATTAGGAATCACTGATGGCCTGGATCCTAAGGCAAATCCTGACCTGGCTTCTACTTCAGCAGGTGGAAATGTTGGTGGGAAATTAGAGAAGTGCAAGGTGCAACGTTGGCAGCACATTACAGTCACCAGGGAACTTTTAAAATCCTAATACCCGGGGCGCCTGGGTGGCTCCGTCAGTTAAGCGTCTGCCTTCAGCTCAGGTCATGATCCCAAGGTCCTGGGAGCGAGCCCCGTGTCAGGGCTCCCTGCTCAGCGGGGAGCCTGCTTCTCCCTCTCCCTCTGCCCTTCCCCCTGCTGGTGCTCTCTCAAGCTCTCTCTGTGTCAAATAAACAAATAAAATCTTTAAAAAATAAATAAATAAAAAACAAAATCCTAATACCCAAGCTTCCTCCAGACCACTTCAGTTGGAATCTCCGGGGACAGGGCCCAGGCATTTGTATTTTAAAGAGCCCTTCAAATGATTCCAGCGCGCAGCCGAAGCTGGAAAGCCCTAAGCTGGAGGGAGAACAGTGCACCCAGGCAAAAATCCCCAAACATAAAAACACCTTTCTGTACCCTCAGCCCTACCCCCACCAAATCAGCGTGAGAGAGGACTTGAGGACCCATACCTTTCAATAAAAGAGAGAGTGGTGTTTTCTCATGGTGGATCTGGCTCAGGAATGGCATGTGCAAGCATATGACAACTTTGGGTGACGCCATCCAGTCACGTGACTCAAAATTTTAAGTGAGAACGGAGAGCAATCTGCTAATGAAACGGAGGCCTAATTAAGGGTATATATGTACATGTGTATATGCATATAAACGAATGTGTAGGGTGTGTGTGTATGTATAGATACATGCTTTCAATATAGAACCTATTAAGAACCTCTGCACTAGCCATTCTCATCACTACAATGAGACAGTTAGGGACCATGGTAACAAGCCTCAAGTGAAAAACATTATGTACCTGAGGCGCTTTCTGTTGGGTGTAGAGTTAAAGCGCTTCTCCTGGAGAGCAGAACCAAGATGCAGCCTCACCTACAAGCTGGACTTAAAACAGAGGACCCTGGCTCCAAAAAGCACCAATGAGCTGCCTGAATTGCCGGCCAACATCAACCAATCAGGACGAGGCCTTTCCAACCAATCAAGATGAAACCTTCTTCCCCCCGCCCCCTCATTAGCATATTAAACCAGCGTGGGAACCTGAGGGGGATCTTTATAGTAGCCGGGCCTCCCTTCCGCTCTGGCGGGCCAGTCTAACTCCTCTCTGTTAGTGCTGAGTGTCCCTTAGGCTCCAGCTGTAGCCCCGGTAAAGCCTTGCCTGTGTCTTTGATTTTGGGGTCCAGCCTCGTTTCTATCCTTGCCCAGCCCAAGAACCAGTAACAACAACCCTGGTAGAAATTGATTTTCCACACCTTATCCAATGGCCCGGCAAACGAGAGCAGGTTCAAGGGCTCCAGGCCACAGAACATACGGAGAGCAATCCTTGAAAGCGCCGCTCTGTTCCCCCGTCAGCAGAGAGGGCACCAGAGATACGCCGCCTTTCACCATTTTGTCTACAGGCCTCGATATTATGAAAGCGAGAAAGCACATCTCACACATCCGCAGACGGAGCGACAGGATGTCCAACCACATATCAACAATCGTTTAAGACTTTTTTTGTACACTCGGGTGTCCCACGCATTCCCGGAGTCATGTTCCCACTGCTGCCCCACTCCTTGGAGCTGAAAAAAGAGCCCAGCAGATGACCAGACGGACCTTGCAGAAAGGCAGGCCTGGTATCATCGCTCCACTAAGCCAAGTGAACCAAGTGAACTCTCCCAGCCTGACACGCCCTACAGGAATCATGCTATTTGGAGCTTCCTCACAGGCCAGGCAAGGTAAAATGACAAGAATCTGTGTCACCGGGTCTGCTGCAGCAGATTCCTGGGCTATATGGCAAAAAAGAAAGAGAGGCCTTGCCCTTAATCCCACAGATACATAATCCCCTTCCTACTCTAGTTCACGATCTTCACTAGGAACTCCTATAGCACAGATTGAGTCTCTTACCTTATGCGAATGCAGGGTACACAATCTACCCCACCAGGTCAAGGCTATCTGACATGAGAAACTGGAAGTAAACACGTGACTTATGACAACATATGAGGGGGAATGCTGTGGGCTTTGTTAGCGTTCTCCATACCCAGGAGCGAAGCTGGGAGAACCCAGGGGACACTCCCAGATACCACTCCCACCCAGTAAGCCCCTGCAAGGCCTGGCTCCCGCCCAGGGGCTCAGGCACAGTAGTGGTTTTATTTTATTTTATTTCATTTTAAAGATTTTATTTATTTATTTGACAGAGAGAGCGACAGAGCACAAGCAGGGGGAGCAGGAGAAGGAGAGGGAGAAGCAGGCTCCCCGCCAAGCAGGGAGCCGGATGCGGGACTCAATCCCAGGACCCTGGGATCATGACCTGAGCCAAAGGCAGACGCTTAACCATCTGAGCCACCCAGGCGCCCCACAGTAGTGGTTTTAGGGCAGTGCACAGCCAATCAAGGATTCTGCGGGCTCAACGGTGTGGTCTGTGTCCATGTAGTTGCCCCAGGGGCTTCATAAAGACTATTTCCACATAAGGTCCTCCTGACTTACTAACTTGCGGTCACCTGCTTCTTTCAAACCAATCCTTGTCCCAGAATGACGGCTGACACAGCTTTAGTCTACAGGGGAAAGTGGCAAAGGCAATGGAAAACAAGCCAAGGCCAGCATAAAGGAGTCAGCTCTGTATAGGGTCTCCCTCTGGGAAGGGGTGCGTGCAGTTCCCAAGGCTCCTGAGGGAAAGCCAGGGATCTGTTCATGCTGCGCTCCACAAAGGGAGAAGTTCTGGGATTCTGGTTGGGGGGTCAACACTTCTGCCTCATCTTGACTCTGATCCATCTCACCAAGAATGGTCCCCTTCTTCTTTACCAAATCGGCATGTCTGTGTCAACAAGAAGAATTGTTTGCTGCTCTCTATGAGCGTGACTGCTTCTGGCTTAGTTCTAAAGCACTGAAAGCTCCCTTCCCATTATGGTTATATGCTGTTACTTTCTTTGTAACTGTCCCGAGGCTTTTAGGTAATGCGACCCTGAACAAGACTTTTTTTTTTCCCTTACTCAAAATAGCAATAACAAAGGGTCTCACTGTTGAAGGGAAAATGAATGAAGGTAAAATGAAGTGAGTTTCCTGGGATAGGCAAGAGGCAGAAGAACCCTGGTGGCCTCATCTGCTTCACCTCTACCATAACTAGTTACTTCCCTAAGATCAGATCCCGAATCTATAAAGAGGCTAATAGAACAGGCTCACAAGTGCCCTTTACGTTTAGACACCGGAGGACATTCCAACTGTCACCCGAGTGTCACCCAACACTCACGGAGCTGGAAAATCTCCCATCCTTAAATCCCACTTCTAAGCATGCCACTTGTTTGCACATAACTGTTTC